GAGTGTCTATTTCCTCCCCCAAATTGAGGAAGATTTCAACAGTAATTCCCTTAAAGAGACTTTCTCTCCCTTTGTCTTTCTGTTCTCCTTCTGGTTCCATTATGCAAATATTGTTTCATATGGATTGGTCACAAAGCTCTCATCATTCTTTCATTTCTAGAGATCATTTTTCTCTCTGTTCAACTTCTTTGTATTCTTCTTCTCTAACTTTCATATCATTTACCATCTCCTCTACCTGTTCTAACCTACTCTTAAATCCCTCCATTGTATGTTTCATTTCAGATACTGTATTCTTCAGCTCTGAGTGGCTTTTTTCAGGTTCTCTGTCTCTTTGCTGAAGTCCACCCTGAGATCTCGAATACTTTTCTGTAAATCTGTGAGCATGTTTATGACTTTCATTTTGAAATCTTTATCAAGAAGATTGGTGATATCTGTTTCATTTAGCCCTCTTTCTGGGGTTCTGTCCTGTAGTTTTGTTTGGATCATTTTCCTCTGCCTACTCATTTTGTCAGGGTTTCTGTGTGTTTTCCTTTGTATTTATCAGATAACTCTGTTAAGCTTACTGTCCTATATAGTTTTATGAAGAAGGCATTGTATGGTGCTCAAGATTCTTTACTCTTTCATTTTGTTCTTCTTTCTCTTGCCTGTAGGTTGGGGTCAGGGGAGGGCTTGGGTCCTGCTCTTGATCAAGGCTCTGCCACTTCACGCTTTCATGTGTGGTTTTCTCTTCTTTCCTTTCTCTTTAGTGTCTGGTTCTATTTTGCAGGAGACCGTTGTTGATGTGCAGTGGGGCAGGACATTTTTCTGCAGGTGCTGGCAGTTTGCTTCAGCTGCTGCCTTTGTGCTCAGCTCAGAAGACTCTGTTGCACTCACTGTGGGCAGCCTGCAGCAATGGCGGGGCTGTAGGGATAATGGGGTGTGTGGACCAATGGGCAGCTCTGCATGGGCTGAAGGACCACAACATGAGGCCTGGATACTTGCATGGAGGATGGAGCCCCTGGGGTTGGCTCCTGCAGGCATTTCCCTAGTTGGACTAAAACGGAGCCAAGGAAGCTGGGAGAGTCTCCTGCTGCCTGTCAGGGAGCAAAGTCCAAGGCTGGCACTGGGTCTACCAGCATGCACATGGAGGAGCCTTGGGACTGTGCTGCCAGCAAGGGGAATGGACAGTCTGGGGTCCCCGAGAGTTCCCAATCTGTTGGGCTAAAGAATGGCTGGAGTGGGTATCCTCCACCCACCCTTTCTCCTGAGGAACCAGTTCCATCCAACCCTCACCCCTCTGGCCCTCATCCCACTGCTAAGTCTCTCAAACTGCCACCCTGCTCTGGGTCTCAGGGCCATTGGAGTGCATCTGTCCTTCACAATGACCAGAGTCCCAGTCTCCCAGAGTGTTCCACCTGCTTCCGGTGTCCAGCCTCACCAATCACGAGAACCCAGTGTAATATAGGCCCATGATTCCAGGGCAGATCTCCAGGGCCAGGTATGCAGTGCTCCTGGGCTCCTATTCCTTCCCTGTTTTGTTCCTCTTTCTCTTGCCTGTAGGCTGGGGTAGGGGGAGGGCTTCAGTCCTGCTCTTGATCATGGCTCTGCCACTTCACCCTTTAATGTGTGGTCCTCTCTTCTTCCCCTGGTGTAGGTGTCTGTTCTGCAGTCTTCTGGTTGTTTTCAGGTTTAGTTGTATTTGTTGTGTTTTCTTCTTTTATGTGTTTTTGCGATGAGGTTTCTGCCTCGCCTTTCTACGCTGCCATCTTTTCCTGAACCCACAAATGATTTTTGACAAAAGTACAAAAGCAATTCAATGGAGGAAGAATAGTATTTTCAACAAATGGTGTTGGTAGGATATCAACCAGGTAGTTTTTCAAAAATGAAAAACTAAAATAAAAAAAAAGAAACCACTCAAAGTAGACTTCACACCTTATACAGAAATTAACTCAAAATGGATTACGAATTTAAATGTACAGCACAAAATGTAACATTTAGAAAAGTACACAATAGAGAATCTTCAGGGCCTATAGCAAGGCAAAGAATTCTTAAGCTTGACACCAAAGACACAATCCATAGAAGACAAAAATTGATAAACTGTACTTCATCAAAATTTAAAACTTACAAACGATCCTGTTAAGATGAACAATCAAGCTAAAGGAGAAAATATTTGCATACCATATATCCATCAAAGGACTAGACTATATAACGAATTCTCAAAAATCAACATTAAAAAACAGCAGAAAAAACAATTATGGGCACTAAAGAGGATATACAGATGGCAAATAAGCACATGAAAAGGCATTCTATCACTAGGCATCAGGTAAATGCAAATTAAGGCCACAATGAGAAATCACCGCACACACATTAGAATGTCTAAAATAAAAAATAGTATCATCAAATGCTTGCAAACATGTAGAGAAAGTAGATCACAAACACATTACACATCATAAAATATAGAATGGTGCAGCCACTATGGAAACTGGCTAGTTTTTAAACCAAATATGTAACCACCATATGCTTGCACCTAGTGCTCGCACTCTTAGGCACCTATCCCAGAGAAATGAAAAGTTATGATTACATAAAAACCTGTATGTGAATGTTTACAGCAGTCTTATTCATATTAGCCAAAGAATGTAAACAATGCGTATGTCCTCCAATGAGTGAACAATTAAACCAACTGTGGTATATCCATTGCCTGGAGGCACAAAAAAGAATCACTGATAAGGTCACAATTGCATGCATCTTCAGAGAATTAATGCTCAGTGAGAAAAGCCAATCCCCCAAAGGTTACATACTATATGATTCTCTTTTTTTATAAATTGAGGTACATATAATAAAATGCACAAATCTTAATACACTGCTCAATGAATTTTGATATGTGTATACACTCACATAACTACCCAAATCAAGATATCAAATATTCTCATTTTTTCCCCCTTCACCTGTTTCACCCCTCCCCCAAGTTTTCTACCCTATGGCAACCACCAGTCTGTTCTCTGTGTTTATGAGTCCTTTGTTTTGTTTCCCTGTTCATTTGCTTTGTTTAGATTGATTTTCTTTACATGAGATTCTTGACATGCCAAGAGAATAGATGAGTGGTTGCCAGAAGCTGAGGAGTTGGAAGTGAGATCCTTGTGGTAGCTGAAATGTTCTGTATCTTGACTGTTATCTGTACATATTTCAAACCATACAATTCTCAAAATAAATTTCTCAATAACTGTACAATTATCACAAAACAAAAAGCATCTAAAATTTAAAAGGTAGATGGTATGGTTTTTTTTCAAATGGGGCAATAAGGAGTGAGATCAGTTAAAAGTTGATCTGATGCATATATGTGCACATATATGTATATGTATGATATAAACAAATACAGTATTTGGTATATAATAAGCAAATTTAAATGAAACCAACATGTTTCTTAAAGTCAATCTTTAAAAATAACTGAATTGTGGAAATGGTTCAATAACTGAATACACTACAAATCATTTAATTATATATTTTGAATGAATTTACAGTACACAAATTGTATCTCAATAAAGCTGTTAAGGAAAAAAAACTAAAGCATGGAAAGTGCTCTCAAAAAAATAATTAGGATACTTTGATCTTCCTTCCAACTTTCCAAGAGCCAGTCTGCACCTAATTTGCAAAGCTAGAACAGTTGTCATATTTCCATAAACCTGCACAAAAAACTGGTTTGAATGTTGCACCTCTTGCCACACAGCAAACAAGGCTTCATTCCAGGACATTCATCCTAAAGCTGCTCAGAGAGTGTACCTGGAAGTGGGCCTCCACTCCCTTCTTCAAAGTACAGAACTACAGAACAAAGGCACAGAGAAACCCCAAGACATTTCACAACTGGTGCCTCAGAGTCATCTCTCCTCTGTTCTGGGCAAAGGGCAGAGATAGCAGGTTGCAGGTTCCTGTCAACTCAGTGCCTGCCACCGGTATGCAACTCACTTAAGTCACACAGCTTTGTGAAAGGGAAAAGGTGGTGTTCCCTCCAGGAAATGAGCTACATCTAAACATGGGCTACCACACCTCTGGAAGAATGAGTATGGTGGAACCCTGTAGAGCATACACGACCATCTAGGTTGTCACCCTAAACAGCACGCAAGGAGATGATGAGTAGTACAGTGGGTGTTGCAGAGTAATCTATTCCTTTAGGGTATCACCCCAAGGAGCACAGGAAGAAGGATGGGTACAGCAGGGTGCTGAGTACAGTGGGGTACTGAGCATGAGTACATGGGCGCTGGAGGGTATTCTGCTCAAGGGATCACCCCAGGAGCGTGAGGATAGGTAGGGTGGCATACTGAGCACGGTGGGTACTGCGAACTGTATTCTGCTCAAGGGATCACCCCAGGAGCGTGAGGATAGGTAGGGTGGCATACTGAGCACGGTGGGTACTGCGAACGTGGGGTGGTGAAGAGTATTCTACTCAAAGGCGTCTCCCCAGGAGCTCAGGACAGATGGGTATGGTGGGCATTGAGTACGTGGGGAGTTCTCTTCAAGGGCGTCACCCCAGGAGCGCAGCGAAGGCCAGAATAGGCGCCGACCCCGCCCCATACTCTAGGCGGGCACCACCCAAAGCCCGCAGCCGCTTCAAGGTCGGGCAGCCCCTCCGTCCGCCCTGCGGGTAAAGGACACCGCCGGGCGGCACACGTGACGCCCCCTTGACCTTGGGGGTCACCCCGGCGTGCCCATTTGCTCACATCCGCCGGCCGCCACAGCCAATGCCCCGCCGCTCCGCGCTCCTCTTGACACCCGCGCGCGCCCGCAACCGCCAATCTCCGCCAGTCAGGCGGGGCCCGCCGGGTCATTGGCCGCCACGCACGTCCGTCAGGTCCCGACCGGCCCACTTCCCCTCCACAGCCCGCTCCATCCGGCTTCACTCCTTGTCACCAAGGCGCCGGCGACAACGAAGGCGCGGCGGTTTGGCCCTCTGCCGCGACTCCCGCCGTCTGCCCGACAGATGCGGAACCTCTCCGACCGGGCGGGGCCCGGCAGCAGCGCGCACTTACCTGTCTTGGACTCGGCTCCACCCGAAAGAGGATCCGATGCCCCGCTCCGGGTCTCCAAACTCTCGACCCCGCCCCAGCGTGTGGCGTCAGCACGCAGCCCCGCCCCTGCTGGGGTGACGTCACTGTGTCGCGCCGGCTGGGGCGGGGCGTGGGTTGTGGGCGGGCTCCGCCGGGTGGTTGGGGAGTGAGAGTGCCCCAGGGGGTCAACGGGCTGGGCGAGTGCGGGTGCCGCTGCTTTGAGGCGGTACTTCCCTGCGGCTGAGGACAACGGCGTTTCTGGGGTGCCTCGTTGATCGGAAGCTGCATGTGGAATGTGTACATGGGCGCTGGAGGGTATTCTGCTCAAGGGATCACCCCAGGAGCGTGAGGATAGGTAGGGTGGCATACTGAGCACGGTGGGTACTGCGAACGTGGGGTGGTGAAGAGTAAAATACTTCGTGATGTGGAATGTGTAAAATAAGGCCTCAGAATTGACGAAATGTGGTCAGTTGTAGTAAGTCACATGCTAAGAAAGTGCCCTGCGGTTCTCCACTCTTAGTTACAGCAAGGAGTGTTAGAAAAGAGTATAAAACCTAAATGTGATTTATTCCCACTAGGATCTTTAAACATTTTAACAGGTATTAACAAAGGGCCACGTGGTGGAAGCTGCTCAGGCTGAGAGTGGGGGTGGGGGAATTGATAAGGGCCTGGCAATACCTGTTAGAGTTTTTTAAACCTACCAATAAAATTAAGACAAATGTAAAGAAGCCAGATATAACTGGCTTAGGCGACTTCCGGGAAGGAATGTGAATCCTGTAGTACTCAGCCAATGAGAAACCAGGGGAGGGACTCACGTACTTGGAGATAAATTATTGGCGCCAAACTCCCCAGGTGTGCCTGCCCACCAGACACCCGATCTTGCAAGACTCTCATTAAAGCCTCGCTCCGCTGTTCCCTTTGTCTCCGTGTCCACTTATTGAATTTGGACCAGTGAGTGTGTTTCTCACAGGAGAAAGCCTCATTTTGTAGTAAGTGGTTCCATTGTGTGGGAAGGTGGCATCCTAATGACATTAGGGAAATGCTGTTCCACACTCTCGAATTGTTCTCCTGCGCATGTTCCCAACAACTTGAAGACAAGGGCTGTCATGTGACACAGCAGAGGATACTGAGGTGACAAGGGACGGCGATCTGACCATGGTAATTACATGGAGAACACAAATATCTGAATCTGGCCTGGAATTCAGACCGACGACTATACCATCCACTCTCGGGTGTAATAGCGACTTTGATCTATTTCTAAATTTTTCCTAGGGAGAGTTTTAGCCACGTCTGTTGTATTGTTGCTTGTGTCAGAGCTAAGAATCCATTGCCAAGTCCAAGGTAATGAAGGTTTACCCCTGTGTTTCTTCTAGGAGTTTTACGGTTTCAGTTTTTATTTTTAGGTTGTTTATCCATTTTGAATTTGTGTATAGGATGTGCAGTGGGAGTCCAACTTCATCCTGCATGTGGAACTTAACCTGTCCAGTCATCACCTGTTGAAGAGATGATTCCCCATTGAATGAACTTGGCAACCTTTTGGAAAATCAATTGGCCATATGTGTTGAGTTTCTTTCTGTACTCGCAATTCTATTCCATTGGTCTGTGTGCCATATTTAATGCCAGTACCACACCGTTATAGTGTAGCTTTACAGTTTGTTTTGAAATACAGAAGTATGAGTTCTCCAACTTTTTTTCAAGATTGTTTTGGCTATTTGGTGCCTCCTGCAATTCCATATAAATTTAGGTATTGGCTTTCCACTTCTGAAAAAAAGGCTCTTGGAATTTTGACAGGGATTCTGTTGAATCTGTAGATCACTTTGGGTAGTATTGATAACAATAATTAAATCAATTACCTCATGAACATGAAGGTTTTCCCATTTTATTTGTGTCCTTTTTAATTTCTTTCAATAATGTTTTTTGTTTTCAGTGTACAAGTCTTTTACCTTGTTTAAATTATTCCTAGATTTTTTTATACATTTGTAAGTGAAATTGCTCTTTGAATTTCCCTTTCTGATTTTCCATTACTGGTTTATTGATTTTTGTGTATTGATACTGTGCCCTGCAACTTCAGTGAATTCATTTATTAGCTCTCTTGTAGACTCTTTGGGAGGATTTTCCATGTATAGGATCTTGTTATCTGTGAACAGGTATATTTTACTTCCTCTTTTCCACTTTGGCTGCCATCTGTTTCCTTTTCTCTCCTAATTGGTCTGGCTTGAACATCCAGTACAGTGTCAAATAGCAGTGTTTGTGAAAGCTGTCCTTGTCTTGTTCCTGATCGTATGGGGAAACCTTCAGTCTTTCACTGCTGAGTATGTTTGCTGTGGGATTTTCATAGATGTCCTGTATCATGTTGGGGAAGTTCCCTTCTAGTCCCACTTTCCTGAGCGTTCTTGATCATGGAAGGGTGTCAGATTTTGCTAAGTGCCTTTTCTGCATCAGTTGAGGTAATCAAGTGTTTTACCCCTTATGTTGAGCCATCCTTGCCTTTGTGGGATAAATCCCACTTGGTCATGATGTCTGATCCTCTTGGTAGGCTGTTGTATTTGGTTTGCTAGTATTTTGTTGAGGACTTTTGCATCTCTATTTGTAAGGGTTGTTGGTCTCGTTTTCTTTTTTTGTGATCTCTTTGGATTTATTATCAAAGTAATATTGGCCTCATAGGGTGAGGTAGGAGGTGTTCCATCCTCTTCAATTTATTGGAAGAGTTTAAGTAGGATTGGTGTTAATTCCTCCTTAAATATTTGGTAGAACTCACCAGGGAAGCCATGCATTCCTTGACTTCTCCTTTCTGTGTCACTTCAGGTAATTTTGTGTGTTTCAAGGAATTTGTCCGTTTCACATCTTACCTTATTTGTTGGTGTACAGTTGTTCATAGTATTCTCTTATCATCCTTTTTTATTCTATAAAGTCAGTAGTAATGTCTATTTGCCTTTCTGACTTTAGTGATATTTGTATTCGCTCTTTTTATTTTTTGTCAGTCTAGGTAAAGGTTGATCTTTCCAAAGAACCAACGTTTACATTCATTGACTATTGTTTTTCTATTCTGTTTATCTCCACTTTAATCTGTTACTTGTTAACTTCTGCTAGGTTTGAGTTTAGTTTGCCTTCTTTCTCTTTTTTAGTTTCTCAAAGTGTAAAGTTAGATTATTGATTTGATATCTTCTTTAATGTACACATTTACAACTGTAAATTCTCCTCTGAGTACTGCCTTTGCTGCATCCCATGGCTTTTGCTCAGTGTGCTTTTTCATCAATGTATACATGCTGCTTTCATTCAACAAATATTTATACCAGTTTGGCTTTAGGTGCTGGGGATACAGACGTGAACAAACAGGCAGGACCTATCATGGAGGGTAAACCCAATTGATGGTTTGAAATCCTTAAAAACAGGGTACCTTGATAGAGAATAGTGGTAGCTCTGCTTTGGTTTTTAAAATTTGTTTATTAAATGGATAACAAATTCACATGGTTCAGAAATCAAGAAGATGAAACAGTCTAGTCTGCAGTCTCCTTTGCACCCCGTTACCATTGACATTATCTGTTGGGCTGCCAGGACCCTTTCCTGCCAGAGGAACTCTGTTGGAGCATGGGACAATCAGGGACCCAGGGTGGCAGCAGAGGTCGAGGGAATTCAGGGGCTTGGAGAGTTTTCATTTCCCGTAGGACAGAGGTATTTCTATATTTTAATCAGCACAACCATACTGGTATTTGGCTGAATGTTTGTTAACTGTAAGTAACCACTTATATTAGAGTTTTATGTGTTCTTCCAGTGTTTTCCATGCAAATAAAAACACCAAAGATGGCTTACTCTGTCCTCTCTTCCTCTCTTCTGCACCTTGCTTTTTAAACTTAGCAATATGTTCTGGACTCTGTCAGTTCATAGAGCATCCTCATTTTCTTCAGTTGCATAATTGTGTACAGTGGTTTTTGTGGGGCTAGCTCATCCTTGTTCCATGTGGTATTGGCTGGGGAATCTTCTCTGGGCCTGGAGGATCCAAAATGGCTTCATTCCAATGACTGGCTGCTCAGTTGGGTTGGCTGGACCTCCTTTCAGCTGGGTTCTAAGAGAGTGAAAACAAGCCACAAGGCCACTTAAATCCCAGGCCCCAGAGCCATATACTTCTTCTGTTGATTTGGTCAGAGCCAGTTCCAGGGTTAGGTCAGATTCCAGTGGAGGGGAAATAGATTCCACCCCTCCATGGTGAAAGCAGCATGTGGGTATGGGACTGGGAGGGATTGGCACCAGTCTTCACAGACATTCTACCATCCCAAGGTCCAGTCAATGTTCACATGTCTTATTTGGTATTATGCATTTTTGTCTCTTAAATTAGTGCATTTCCACCACTTTTTGCTCCTCTTCTTGACTTTAGTTTTTGAAAGGTTCAATCCAGTTCCATATTGTGTATAGATTTCCCTTATTGTTTCCTCATGATGTCTCTACTTCTAATTCCCTGTAAACTGCAAGATGTAACTGAAGGCCTGATTAGATTGAATGTTACTTACAAAAATATTTTGTACCCATTGATGATCCCTGTGTTTTACAGTGATTATCTTTTGCCTGGACAAGATGATCTTAAAATCTAAGTCAGATCAAGTCATTCCTCAGTCAAAATCCTGTAGTTCTCATTTTCCAGAGTTCTTCAAATGGTCCAAAAGGCATACCCAATCCCCGACCCATCTATGACCTCATTTCCTCCCATTGCCCCCTGTCTCTCCTCCTCTCACACTGGCCTCCTTCCCCTTCCTCAGGTATCTGTTGACCTGCCTGTTAAGGGCCCTTCTCACATGGCACCTTCTCAAGTGAACCTTCCTGAGCCCTCTGTTGTACATCCTGCCTCTAGCCAGATGCCTGATAAAGAACTTCCTGTGTGTGGCTGCCAAAACAAATTTTCACAAACATGGTGGATTAAAACAACAGAAATGTATTCTCTCACAATTCTAGAGGGCAGAAGTCTGAAAACAGGGTGTCAGGTGAGGCTCTAGGGGGGATCTCATTGCTGGTCTCACCCTGTTTCTGGGGGCTACAGCTTTCCTTGGCCTATGGCTGCAGTACTCCAGTGTGTGCCTCTGTGATCATACTGCCTCCTTTCCTGGGTGTGTCTCT